TATTTATCTAGGAACTGCTATTGCTAAGATATGTGCACATAGGTATCTTGTTTGCTTACTTTTTAAAAAATTTGCCAAGCTATTTTGCAGCGTGGTTGTATCATTTTACATTTCCATGGCAGTGCATGAGAGATCTATTTTCTCCACATCCTCATCAGGGTTTGGCATTATTCTTCCACTAGACACGGCTCAATATTTTTTAATATTTTAATTCTCTCATTAGGCACGTAAAACTGACTCATCAAGAATTATCTAGAAGACCTGAGATTCCACATCTTTCCATGTATTGTTTTTCTACCCATGCCGTCTTTTGTGAGCTACTCAGATTTGTTCTTTTCTCAATTTCTAATTGAACTTTCTTTTTTTGTTGTTGCTGAGCTCTGAGAATTTTGATGTCTCAGGGACGAACTCTTTCTCAACAATTAGTTTGAAATTTCTGTAGGGTTATTCAAATTATCTGTTTTATATTAATTTTATATTAATTGCAGTAGTTTATAATTTTTAAATGGAACTATTTCACCTAAGTTGTTGCTTTACCTGTGTACGGTTATTCATAGTATTCTCTTACTATTTATATAATTCTGCAGCTTATATATTTACTACATCATTCCTAACATTAGTGATTTTTTCCTTTACCAGTCTTGCTAGAAGTTTATCAATTTAATTAACCTTTTCAAATACCTATTATTTAATTCATTGATTATATCTTTTAATTTTTTGATATATTCTTTTTACTATTTCTGTTTTCTTTGAAGTTATTTTGCTCTTGTTTATTTCTAAGTTCTTTAGGTTGGAGCTTAGATTATTAATGAGGTGCTTATTTTTTCCTAGTGTAAGTTCTTTGTGATATAAAATTTCTTCTCAGTGTTCCTTCAGCTTTGGGACACAACTTTTGGCATATTATATTTCTATATTCATTCACTTTGATTTTTTTTTCTTACTTCATTTGAGTTTCATTCTGTGATCTATGTATTCTTTTTTTTTTAAATTTTTTTTTAAATTTATTTGACAGATAGAGTTAGACAGTGAGAGAGACAGAGAGAAAGGTCCTCCCTCCACTGGTTCACCCCCCCCCCCAAATGGCTGCTATGGCCGGAGCTACGCTGATCCGAAGCCAGGAGTCAGGTGCTTCCTCCTGGTCTCCCATGCGGGTGCAGGGGCCCAAGCACTTGGGCCATCCTCCACTGCTTTCCTGAGCCACAGCAGAGAGCTGGACTGGAAGAGGAGAAACTGGGACTAGAACCCGGTGCCCATATGGAATGCCGGCACTGCAGGCCGAGGATTAACCAAGTGAGGCACTGCGCTGGCCCCCATGTTTTCTTCATAAATGTTTAATTTCTAAGGTTTTGAGAAATTTTCCTTATTTTTCATTTCTTGGTTTGTAGTTTGAGAGAAAAATCCCTTGATGATTTCAACTATTTTACAGCTTTTGAGGTTTATTTCATAGTCCAGGATGTCATGTCTCTTGGTAAATATTCTGTGGATGTTTGGAAAAGTGTAAATACTGCTACATGTATATACTGCTACATGGCTTGATAGAGTGTTTTACAAGTGTCAATTAGGTACTGTTGGCTGATGATGTTACTAAATTACTAAATTTTATATACTTAATGAATTTCTGTATAGTTGAGAGAGAAGTATTGAAATGTTTTAGCATAATTACAGTCATGTCTATTTCTTCTTTTTACCCTGTCAGTTTCTGTCACATATATTTTACAGGTCTCTTGTTGGGGGTCATATATATTTATGATTCCTCTGTCTTATTGATGGACTGTCCCTTTTGTAATTATGTTAATTTTATAATTATATATTAATATATGTCATATAATTATATAACCACTCTGTCCCTATAATTTCATTTAATTGATTGAATATAATATTAATAAACTTACCTCAGATGTTTTTAATTTTCAAATTTTAATTAATTTTTAACAGATTCAATGTGATTTGTAGATATAATTCTGAGAGCATGGTTTTGTTCCTCCCTCCTTCTTCCTTCCGCCTCTCTCCTGTCCACTTTCCTTCCTTTTTCCTTTTGTTCTTTCTTTTTTTAGCTTTTGAGATAACATAGTTTAAATTTATATCATAGTAAAAAGGCTTAATACTTCACCCAATATGAAGTTTAACAAGTAAAAAGCAAAAAGACCTTAGTTCAGTGGGAATATAAACAACAGCAATAAAAAATAACTGAATGTAGAAATGGCCATGCTCTCGTTTTTAATTTTTGATCCATGTAACTCATTTTTTAAAATTTTAATTGACATACAGTAATTGCTATTGATAAATTCTGTTACTTTCTCGCTATTAATATGAACTCTGCTTTATTTCTCATACCATTTACTTTTAAAATAACAAGAAAAAAGTCTTTGAAAAAGGTTTTTAAAGAGCAATTTAAGTTAATGATTAGTGAATATTTGCTTATATACATAGAAACATTCCTTTTTTGATGTTTATATTCTTGGACATTTGCAGTGCTACTTATTGGCATTCCTATTTAGATGAATAGTCTATATTATCCTATAGATATATAGTTCTGTATATTTTTACACATATTTTGTTTATATTTTCTAATAAGCCATGAGTAAGTAAATGATGTTTACTATATATTTCCTAAGAATAGTGATTTCTGTCAAATTTATACATACTTACTGATTTATCTGTGTGGTTGTTTATTTATGAAACAGACACGGAGCACTGTAATCTTTTGGTTTACTTGCCAAATTCCCACAATGCCAGGAACCAGGAACACAATCCAGGTCTCCCATATGGGTGACAAGAGCCAAAACCATTTGTTCATTTGTAAATGGGATTTATATTTCATTTGTTTCAAGTTTATTATAAATTTGAATGTCAATTTAATTTTCCTATCTTTGATCATAAAGATATGGCAAGTAGTAAATGGATTCTGAATTATTCTCAATAGAGGTGTAAAAATATAATCAATAATAATGTAGTGCTCTTTAATGGTGATGGAGACTTTTGTATAAACTGTGCATAATAATTAACAAGGTGGAAATGTCATGAATTCATTAATATACACTTTCCAGCATCCTCCACAAACTAACAACAGATAAAACTGTTGTTGCATTAAGGTAAGTTGATTAGTTTAGAATTTCATTTATACCTTTCTGTCATTGAAAGAATCAATTTTAATGAATAAATGATTGTTGACTCCTATTGTGAGCTAGGCATGAATCTAGACACAGTTATGTCTTTTGTTATTTTTCATTCTCACAATTGGAAGCATATCTTTCCAGGTATGATATAGATAAAGATGCTAGGGCTTTGATACTTCAAATGGTTCGTTGAGATTCAGCTGGCTTGTAATTCAAGGAGGGATATTTGAATCCCTCAATTTCACTAATAGATGGTTGTCTGTGCAGTGACATGATGAAACTGACTGATACATGTGGAGAATCTCACAGGAATCTAGAAAAGAGTCATGGATCACCGCTTACCTGAAAAGGAGATGAACTGTGGAAACACAGTAAAACATTGTGTTAAGAAGTTACCACTAGCCACAAAAATAAAAGTAAAGTGGAGTTATAAGTTAAGAGCTGAGGCAATGCCTAACGGCTGTTAGGGAAACACTCCTAATCATACCAAGCAGACACCTCTGGTCAGTCAGATAATGGTGTGCTATGGACAATACCCTCCTAGCCACGCTGACTGGACCGTTCAAACATAAGTAAGGCGGGAACAGTATTGACTGGACTGTTCAACTATAAGCAAGGAGGAACCAGCATTGATTGGACAAGTTGGAGGATGGCGAGCTGGAGGACTGCCAGAAATGAGGATAAAAAGGGAGCCCTTGCACCACTCTCCACCCTCTTGGGGATCATGGCCTGGTGTGTGTGAACCTCTGCATCTCCACACATCCAGAGCTGAAGAGGCAGCCCATTACTCTGCATGGAGCAGGTAGCAGCACAAGCTGACTTGCAGAGCTGTCCCTGAGCTGTAATACCCCACTGTCTGTGTGTGAGTGTGTTGTGTGTGTGTGGCCCAGGGTGAGTGAACCTCTGGATCTCCTTGCACTTGGAGTTGAAGAGCCAGCCTGCTAGCTTTTGCTACGCAGCACAAGGAGACAACGGGATCAAGAGGTCATCTGGAGCTGCTGTGTTGCTGTCCTGCCACCGTGTCTGACCGGGATGCTGTCTCACCGCCCTACCTGGAGTCCTTATCAGCCTACTGCCACACCTGACCACAAAGCCAGACCAGGCCTCTCAGCAAGGGACGTCTCCAACTTCTCGCCTGGCTGTCTGCCTGGGAACTTAGAGCCTACTGCCCAGAGTGACAGCTTTCCCACAACTTCCTGCCTGTAAGTGACTGATCCGAGATCCGTCTCTGCTGAGACATGGAGCTCTGGACCTTGAACACTGACACTCTTTTTTGTGACTGTGATATGAGCGTTGAAAATGCAGCTTTTACAAATAATGTTAGTCATGTGTAATATAATATAACTATGCTTTGACCCTATCCAAGGTATCTGAAAATAATGCTTGAGACCTTGATGTACATATACTATTATAATTAGATAGCTCTCAAAATTATTTTAACACTGTATACTGTGATCTATGGATTAATGAATAAGTTCAAGTAGTATTATTGATATTGATATTAGTGGTATTGATTCCAGTAGTCCTCTAGTCATTAAGGGAATAGTGTTACTCTGATAGTTAAGTATTATAGTAAGTTAAGTAAATGCTAAGTAGTTATGTTAAACTAAGTAATTCAGTAAGTGTGTTGTTAGCTATAAATTATGATAAATGATATTATTGACATTATTGATAGTGATATTAGTGATATTGATAAGTGTGTTAAGTAACTATGTTAAGTTAGGTGATTAGGCTAAGTAGTTAAGCTAAGTAGTTACGTTAAGCTAAGTAGCTAAGTTAAGTAGTTAAGTCATGATTAAGTAGTGGTGTTAAGTTTATTGATAAGTATATTAAATCGTATAGCTTGATAACTATATTGATACTGATGAATGTATTGACCTCAATGAGCATGCTGATGAGTAGTGTGATTAAAAAAACCTGGTGTGTAAGCAATAAAATCTCTCATTGGAAAGACAGTCTCGTGTCCTGGTGTTCCTTTCTTCCCTGTGACTGACAAGTCGTACATTGCACTTGCTACTGTTGAGCTGTGTGACAGTAGGCGCTCGCAACAATACATCCCATTAGCTCATTGTTACGTAAACCTAAGTCAGTTTAATTCATCTAATTAATGTTCTCATTTAGAGGGAGTACAAACCATGTGTAAATTCCTTTTTTGATTGACTTCAGACATGTAGGTAGAGGAAGTTAAAATAAAAAAAGTAAAACCTGTGGCAATATGGAGAAGAGGCTGATGGGAACTTGAAAAGAGTGGATTCTATGTCTGTAATGACAAACTAATGGAAAGAGTGAATGGAATCAGATTTGATGAGATGAAGAACCAGAAATGAAGAATAAAAACTGATAGAAAACAGAAAGCATATTTGTTTTAATAAAGAAAACAGAAGACAGAAAAATCCATTATCAAAAGACTTCTGTAAAGCCAGAAATAATAGTTTATGATTTTAACAGAAAAAAATCAGTCAACTAGATTGTCCCCTTAATACATTAATCACAAAGGAAATATTTTAATTTCAGACTCTTTGCTTTCAAAAACTCACTTCAATGTTTCCTGTCTCCTGCTTTTTCCAATTAATTCTACTCCTGTCCCAAAGCTTCCTTATGGCTGATTTGACTTCTTTGTTTCGAAGTGTGTAGATGAGAGGGTTCAGCATGGGGGTAATAACGTTGTAGAGTACGGATACCATCTTGTCCACAGAAAAAGTAGAGAAGGGACGTGCATAGATGAAAATACAGGGTCCAAAAAAGAGTGTTACCACCATGAGGTGTGAGGCACAGGTGGAAAGTGCCTTCCGCCTTCCCTCCTTGGAGCGAATCTTGACCAGGATGGTGGTGTAGGAACAAAGCAGTACCACAAAGGAGCTGGTGGAGATCAGTCCGCTGTTGGAAACCATGAGCAATTCAATGACAAAGGTGTCTGTGCATGCAAGTTTGATGACAGGAGGCACATCACAAAAGAAGTTGTCTACCTCATTTGGTCCACAAAAGGGCAGACTGATCATGAGAAAAGTCTGGACGGTGGAGTGCACAAATCCTCCCATCCATGAGGCACCAACCAACACACAACATAGTCCCTGAGTCATGACCGTTGTGTAGTGCAGGGGGCGGCAGATGGCAACATAGCGATCGTAAGCCATCACTGTGAGCAGGAACATCTCAGCTGCCCCTACAAAATGCAAAAAGAAGAGCTGCACAATGCATTGTTCAAAGGGAATGAGCTTTTTACTGTCAAGGAAGTCGGCCAACAGCTTAGGGGTAGTCACTGTTGAATAACACAGGTCCAGGAATGAGAGGTTGCCAAGAAGGAAATACATGGGTGATGCCTTCAGAGAGTTATCAGAAATCACTGTGGCCATGATAAGGACATTGCCCACCCAAGTGAGCACATAGAAGAAAAGAAATAAAACAAATAAGCCTTCCTCGATCGACAAAGTCTGTGAGAAGCCTGCCAGGACAAACTCCCTCACCATTTCTGTTTGATTTTCCCCCATTTGACCTGGCTCCACCTAGATCAAAGATATTAAACAATAGAATATTAGCAATAATAAAAGCAGGTGAGACATTTCAAATCAAAGATTTCAAAATTCAAAAGGAGACATTTTTCTCTAGTTATACCCAATTGATTAGACAAGCTTATTTTCTCCTTAGCTGATATAAATATATTCTTCCCCATCACCAACACTGAGACAATAATAAAGTACTCAAAAAGTTTTGCATGATGAAATCACTGGATCTCAGACCTTTATCTTTAATTTGATGTAATTTTTCTCTCACATCAATCAGTACATTAATTTTCTCTTCTTTTTCACATTCAGTCTCAAAAAATATGTAACATTTTACTGAGATACCAATATTTTCAAATAAAAATCTTTAGGAAAAATACGACTGAAATGTACAATTTAAGGTTCCCATGTGGATCAAGGTCGATAGAAGTTTTATTCAGGAAAACAAAACCCTGTTCCCCTTTTCATCAAGATAACTCCTACAGTAATCTCATGTGTGCAAACAAAGAGGAAGGCTCTCATTCCACTTGAACTGATCACTAATTTGTGGACCTCTTCCTATGTTTTCCAAGTACATGCCCAGGGTTTTATCACATGTCAAGCCTTTCTGAACATTCTGTTGTCGTCTGTAACATATTTCTCATTGTAAGTCATTCATAAAGACAAATGGCATGTATCATGCCTTTAGCAATCTAAATAGAATCTAAAAAAGTTATTAAAGTATTGAAATGACTCTTTTTAATGAAACTATTAAGTTGAGTAAAATATTTCTCTGAGGTAAAGATAAATAGTAATTTTGTGTGAATAAATAAAATTATTCACAGAGGAAAGTTAAAATCTATATGGAAATGTGAAGGCAACATAATCTTTATAAAGGTTGTCTGTGACAATTGAGACTTTCTTCATAGTTATCAATAGTTTCTGATTTTGTACAATGAACTCAATTATATTTATGGTAAATACATAAACTTTCTATGAGTCTGTATGATCATTCCTATTAACAGTTTTGCTTCATCATTTTGTGGATAAAAACATCACATATTTGGAATTTTCCTTTTTGGCAACATAATTATTTCTTGCTAGTAGCTTATGTGAATTTCTGGTGAAAATTATATGTATATATTCCATATAAGTTGCTTTTAGAGTAATTCTGTTGTTAAAACAGCAAAAAAATCAGATTTTATTAAAACTATTTTTAATTATGAATTTGTTTTGTAGAAAATTTTACTGCTATTTTATTATTAATGTTTAATTTATTTCCTGATTAACAAGACATTGCTTCTTGTCAAATTTTGGAAGCAGAAACTAAGGGAAATGCAGTAAACTTTGACTAGCCACATGTTGTTAAAAATTTTGTGAAATGCATTGTTTTATTTGCAAAGTAATTTAATATTGCATATATGACATAATATACTACTAAATTAAACAAAGTTAGCAATAAATGCTGATTCTTAAGGTGAGTACTAACAACAGGAGCATGAACAGAGCTTTTGGTATAACAGACTTCAAGTCAAATCGCTTACCTTCTGTCAGAACAAGGTAACCCCATCGAAACATCTAGGTATTAAAGAACCAAGACGATGAATACATTAGGACGGAAACCTCTTGTTACACTAGCCACCATTAGGAAATTTTGGTATTTGGGTGCTTGGGGATTCATGTACACACAGTCAAATCACAAAGGGAATCATTAAAAAAGTTTGATCACAATCTTTTGCCAGAAATTACGGAAAACAAAAATGTGTGTGTTGGAGTAATAGTAGATGTGAGGGTAAAAACCAATGGATGGGGGAAAAATAGTGATGCTTGGAATAATGCCAGTTGCATTTTATTGTGAGGTAAGAGCTCCTCTGGCCCGCAGACTAAAGTTCATGACAAAAATACTGGAACATTAAGAAAAATGTTCCTAGAGGGGCTGTGTTTCTCCTACCAGTTTACCTTTGCCTGTGCTACCTTCCCTAATAAAATCTGGAGTTAGATTTCATTTCAGTTTTTTGTGTATTATAGAAACATGTATCATAAACATGTTTCCCCTTTCTTCCATTTCTACCTCCATATCACTGGGGAAAGAAGAGAGAGAAAAATAAGTTTTCTTGACAAATTTATATATTTAAAGTAAAAACAACACAAAATCAAATACATGAAAAGTCATTTAATCAACAGATATTACTATGGTCAAAATGGAAGGGTATAGTAAATAAATATGGTAAAAGTAAACAAAATACTTTTTATTCAAATGAAAAATCAGGACTGGTACTGTGGCATAGTGGGTAAAGCTGCCTCCTGCAGAGCTGGCATCCCATATGGGCTCAGGTTAAAGACCCAGCTGCTCCACTTCGATCCAGCTCTCTGCTATGGCCTGGGAAAGCAGTAGAAGATGGCCCAAGTCTTGGGCCCCTCCGCTGGCTTCTGATCAGCACAGCTCCAGCCGTTGCGGCCAGCTGGGGAGTGAGCCTGCTGATCGAGGACCTCTCTCCTTTCTCTCTCTCTCCCTCTCAGCCTCTCCTTCTCTCTCTCTGTAACTCTATCAAATAAATAAATAAATCTTAAAAAAATGAAAAATCTTTGTGGATGTGCTCTCATGTATTATACCCAGTTCTAATTTTTTTTTTTTTTTTTTTGGACAGGCAGAGTGGACAGTGAGAGAGAGAGAGACAGAGAGAAAGGTCTTCCTTTTTCTGTTGGTTCACCCCCCAGTGGCTGCTGCAGCCAGCGCACTGAGGCCAGCGCACCACGCTGATCCGAAGGCAGGAGCCAGGTGCTTCCTCCTGGTCTCCCATGCGGGTGCAGGGCCCAAGCACTTGGGCCATCCTCCACTGCCTTCCCTGGCCACAGCAGAGAGCTGGCCTGGAAGAGGGGCAACCGGGACAGAATCCGGCGCCCCAACTGGGACTAGAACCCGGTGTGCTGGTGCCGCAGGCAGAGGATTAGCCTAGTGAGCCGCGGCGCCAGCCCAGTTTAATTTTTTAAGAAAACTAATACATAATATATAGTTAAAGCTACATGTACATGAATTTCAAATATTTTTGCATTACCTTCTAAGTAAACTGCCCACAAACATTTTGAAGTCACCTCATAACAACTTGGGAATACTATAATGAAATAATGGTGATTTTTCTATGTTGAATTTATGTCCTACGACTTTGGCAATTTAATTTATTATCACTAATAGTTTGGGGGGAACTGTTTTTAAGTATAACATCATGTCATCTGCAAACAAGGACAACTTGACTTTCTCTTTTCAAATTTGAATACATTTATTTCTTTATCATGCCTAATTGCTTTGGATAAATCTTCCAGCACTATTTTGAGTAGAAGTGGGTGGAGTGGGCATCTTGTCTTATTCCAGATTTTAGAGGAAAATTCTCAACTTTTCCCCCACTTAGTATGATATTAACTGTGTGTTTGCCATATGTGACATTTACTGAGTTGAGGTACATACTTTATATACATAATTTGTTGAGATATTTTTATCATAAAGGGATATGGAATTTTATAAAATACTTTATCTATAGAGATGATGCTATGGTGTCATTTTTTAAGATTCATTTATTTATTTAAAAGACAGAGTTACAAAGAGGCAGAGGGTGAGAAAGAAAGATATCTTCCATCTGCTGGCTCACTCCCCAAGTGGCCACAATGGCTGGGGCTGGGTCGGGGCAAAATCAGGAGCCAGGAACTTCTTCCAGTTCTCCCACATGGGTGCAGAGGCCCAAGGACTTGGGAAGTCTTCTGCTGCTTTCCCAGACACATTACTAGGGAACTGGATAGGAAGTGGAGCTGTGCCACAGCCCCAGCTCTGATGATAGGGTTTTGTCTCTATTTCTGTTGATATATCATATTCATATTGAACCATCTTTGCATCACTGGGATGAATCTCACTTAATCAAGTTGAATACTCTTTTTACACATTGCTGGATTCCATTTGATGATATTTTGTAGAGGATAATTGCATCTGAATTCATCAGAGATATTGACTTGTTAATGTTCTGTTTTTGTTGTTGTATATCTGTTTTGGTATCAGGATGATGCTGAACTCATAAAATTAGTATCAAAAAATTCTTTTCATCTTGTTTTTGGGGTAGTTTCGAAAGCATTGGTTTTAGTTCTTCTTTAAATTAATTGTAGAACTCAGCACTACAGCCATAGGTCCTGATGTTTTTCTTTATAAGAGATTATTGATTTTCTCATTCATTATTGGTCTGTTCACATTTCTACTTCTTAATCTTGATAGGCTGCATATACTGAGGAATTTAACCACTTCTTGGTTTACAGTTTGCTGTGTATAGTTGTATATAGTTTCTTATGATCTTATTTTTATTTCTGTGGTATCAGTTGTGATGTTATTTTACACCTCTGAATATTTTATTGATATCTTTATCCCCACTTTTCCTTACTATAACAGGAGATTTAAAAATTTTATTTATCTTTTAAAAAATCAGCTACTCATTTAATTGGTATTTTGTATTTTTGTTTCTTTTATTTCTGCTCCAATATTATAATATTTTAAATATTATTTAAGGGATATGAATTCATATATACAAATTTGGGAACGTTACCCTCCATTCCATCCACACTCCAACAATTCTTCCTACTCCCTCTCCTATTTCCCACTCTTAATTTTTCCAAAAACCTATTTTTAGTTTGCTTTATACTCATAAGATTAACCCTATACTAAGTAAAGAATTCAACAAAGAGCATGAAGAAAAAAACACTGTTCTTCAACAATACAAAGGGTGTAAATAATCATCAAATCTCAAAATGTCAATGTCACCTCTATATATTAAATTTTTGACACTCTATTAGTTACTAAAGATCATAGAAAAGATGATATTTGTCTTTCTGAAAATGGCTTATTTCACTAAGTATAGTGGTTTCATTTGCATCCATTTTGTTGCATAAGACAGGATTTCATTCTTTTTTACTGCTGAGTAGTATTCCATAGGGTGTATATAGCATAATTTTTTATCCAGTCATCAGCTGATGGACATCTGAGTTGATTCCATAGCTTAGCAATTGTGAATTGAGCTGCAATGTACATGGGAGTACAGATAACTGTTTCATCTATTGATTTCGTTTTGTTTGGGTAAATACCTACCAGTGGGATTGCAGAGCCATATGGTATATCTCTTTTCAGCTTTCTGAGGTATTTCCATACTGTCTTCCACAATGGCTGTACTAGTTTACATACCCACTAA